AGAATTTTTCCCAACCACAAATATGAAAAGGTTCATCAACATACAAGCATTTACACATACTCCAAAAAGGATCATTAACATCAATAAATGGCATGATAATCTGGAAACTAATGTACCTGTTCCTTTTTCGCCTCGTAGTCAATTATAAACTCATCAATCCTTTCTTGCAACACATCTAACCCTGGCCTATTCTGATAATAATCAGCAACCCATTCTGCACCCAGAAAAAAAGAGGAAATTTTCTATTTATCAATGTATACTTGTGTTCTCATATACAACATTTCGCACTGCAGTCTATCCAAAAAAATCATTTCTTTGGTGTGTGCGAGCTAGCCTGGACACCAATATTATCCCCGTAAAAAAAATGAACATTTCAATTCATCATGTCTATGAAAATAACTGGCCAAACATTAAAGTAAAACCAGGCATGTGTTAATCAGGTCTCAAAATAAGAAAAAGAAATATTCAACAGCAAGAACTATTAATATGTTGTGAGTAATTTGAACGAGTTTCTTTGGAATATTTGACGAGGCAAATCTCATATCAAAATCACAACGAATATAACACTAGAAGCAACAAGTATCGTTATCTTTTTCTTTTTGAAATAATATTATATTTTTTGAATTAACAAGGTAACAGGTATTTCGTATATATATATAGAGAGAGAAGATCATACTTCTCATTCCGTTGGAGTAATCCTCATCCCCTGAAGATAGTTCATAAATCTCTTCTTCTTCAACTTGTTCTCTCTCCACTGGAAAATTATCCTTAGCGATTGATAATGGATGATCCTTCTCTACAATGTCATTGGTCTCTTTTAAATTGCCTATAGGAATTAGACAGCATTGAAGGGAAAAAAATTCAAATATAGATCTTAAACATAAATTGTTGTTTTTTCACGATCATACGCATCAAAAGACTGTCGGTAAATCAAAGTGCATGATGGCCATTGGGTATAACTGTTATTACGACACCACATGCTTGTACAATAAGTATGTTGCATTTAACTGGAGCAATGAAATTCATTTCAATTGATAGAAGTGTCATGTCACTACCTTTTAACATTTAGAGTCTTAAACTATATGGTTTAAAGTCTATATCTTCTACCGCGATTTCCTAAAATAATTCATAGTTTCCTAGGAAAAGTACGAATTTCTTACTGTTTCCTGGAAATAAATATTTTAGGAACTGCAATCAGGATTCACTTCATTGTGTTCAAAAGTGAAACTTTCCAGTAGTTTCAATGCTGTATGATTATAGACATAAGGGCATGCTAGCAAGTGCTATAGACTGCCCCCTAACAAGATTTTTTTTTTTTTGAGACATCAATTGCTTAACATTTTTCAAAACCTTAGATATTTTAAATTTGAATACATGATCAAGAAATAATAGACTGAAATATTGCAACTCAATAATCTTTCTCTCTAACCTCTTTGTCGTTTGGGGACACCGTCAACTTCAGCTTTGCCAGCTTTCTTGTCACTTTTTCTCTTCTTTCTCTTGGATTTTCTTGTCTCCTGATTATCAGGCTCACTTGATATGGTATTTTCTCGACCAATTTCATCCTCTATTTCATTAGATTGATTAACTCCACCACTTTCAGCAAGTGTGTTACTTTTCCTCTTCTGCTTTGATGATTTGCTCTTTTTCTTTTCCCCATCTGCATTATTTGATTCATCTGCTAAAAACCTTAAATAAATCATCCATATAAACCAACAATTGATGCTCAACATAAATTATTACTTAACTTTACCAATTCATTACCTTTATGATATGCGATATGACATTCATCTATATCATCTTTGCTTCTTCTATTTTGCATATTCAAGTTCTTCTTCTTCCTTTTCTTTTCTTTGGTTACCTTGGGAATATTTTCCTCTACAAAGAAGGCATCAATCAACATCTATATTCAGGAAACATATAGAAAAAGTAAGAAGTATTGGCTGAGTGAAGAAGTCCAGAAGATCTTGGTAAGCACATTTTTCTTCCAGTTTACCCAACTTTCAGGATCCTTTCCTGTCACATCTTTTTTTGAGACAAGTAACAATTCTATTCCGTCAATACTTAGCCACCCCAGATAAAGGTGCTAAGTTGGAAACTTTACAAGCATCGAAGGGTGCTTAAACCCGTGCCCAAAACCCCATGCCAATTCAATATACTAATTCTCCTACTCCCCCCTACATATTTTGTTTACACCAAAAAAAGAAAAAGCTAAAGACAATTCATCCTAATTTACTCGATAGAACTGCTAGTGCCTTCAAAATGTCTATCATTCCTTTCTTTACATATTATCCACCAAATGCAAGCAGGAATGATCTTCCACCAGTCCTTCTCCCCACCTCTATTCCCAATACTCCACCAATTATTCCATGCCAAAGTAGAACTATAATATTATAGACAATGTTGAACCCTAGATCTAAAATTGTCCTTTTGGGGTATCAAGTGTGCTGATAATTTTGCATAAAATACATTATCTTGATTGACATTCATGTATTTTGAGTGCCAACAAAAAGACATTGAGAGATATTCATTAAAATGAAAAGAGAAGCCCCCTCTAAAAGGAGATAGGCCCAGATTGCAGCTGAATGAGTGAATCACCTATTTCTCCATAAGACGACCTCAATCAATATGAAGAGCTGAATTAAGTAAATAGATAAACTTCACAGCAATGGATAACTCCCAAAGAATAACTGATGTGAGCAAGGAATAATTCATTGTTATGGTCAGTGCATTGGCATAATGTTTCTCAGTTTGCTGTTTCTGGCTCCTTGCTCTTATAATAGCTAACTTATTATGGCAGTTGACAATTCTAAGGGAACGCGGATTGCTAATGATGAGATGGTTGCTAAGCATTACATTTAATGAGTTTAATACTCTGTTTGAAATATAAGGCCCGTCTACTGATGGAGTTTGCTATGAAAAATCAAAAGCAATTAATTTATGCTTTCAACATATACAACAAGATACAGATCATTTAAGCACTAAACTGTTAAACCTGTTAGAAGGTGGCTATAACTCTGCAAAAACAGCCAAGAATAGAATAATTCTCAACAAACTTAAACAAGATTATTTTTTTTCACAGACATGGCTGAATATGTATCAATTGTTCCCTTTTCTATTTGTACACATATGGGCTGATATGAGTGAGATTCAAACTCAAAATGTATCCTTTTTGCCACTTGAGATTGATTTATTAGTTGGAAGAAAAAAATAGAGGGGTGTATTGCAATGAAAAGTAGGGCAGTTAAAGAGAGAAACATTGAGGCAACAATAATATACCATTTTGAACAAAGTTAGAGTTCATTGTTTGTGATTCTCCATCTTTATTCTTCTTTTTCTTTTGCTTCCTCTCCAAGCCCTTAGCGCCCATCTTCCTCTCGAGACCTCTGTTAATGGAAAACACAACAAACAGGGGAAACAATATATTTGTATGTTTTAAAAAAAAAAAAACAGAAACAGATATTTTAGCCTAGAAAACAATTTCAAGTATAAATTGTGCGTCAATATTAATCAAAAACCGTACCAAAAACAGTGTAAGTAGAAGATGAAGTATTTGAGCACTAAATTCAACTACAATATTGGATAGAGGCGGCGAAGCAGTTAACGGAGGAAGCAATTGCGGCCTCTTACAGCCGCCAAGGAGCGGCGAGGTCTCTGAAAGTATAAAGTTTACTTGTTTGGCGACTGGAGACGAAAGAGACGATACAAACGGACAGGGTATTGGAAATAAAAAACAGAAAATACTAAACGTACCTCTAAAGTTTTAATTGCTACACTTTAACCCCTCATTTTTTAACATACCCTACATTTTGCTTTTGAGTTTCGGCTGTGTTTGGTATGGATAAAAATATTTTTTATTATTTACGTGTTTGATTGATTGAACAAATTACTTTTAAATTTTTTTTAATTTCTATAGAATAAAAGAAAATATAAATTACATTTTATATTAGTTGTCTCTTCTTCATTTTCAAACACATCATATTTTGTTTTTACGGTCTTTTATCTTAATTAACATCAAATTCTTTGGAAATAATATATTTTTTTTGCAAAAAAACAAATATCTAAAATAAGTTAATAAGTAATCAAATAAAATATACCCTTCTCCCTTTTCTTTATTCTTTTTGTTTTGTCTTCAACTAGCGAAGAGTATCTAGGGTTAGAAATGCATTTTTTTTTATAGAAATACATTTCTGTGTAATGAATCTAGTAGTGTTAAAGAAACATACTTTATATTCATATAGAAAAATAATTTTACAAAAAAAATTATATCTATATAGACATAGAGATGTCGAAAGCTTTGTTAGTATATCTTACACTAGTCACCTAATGGAAAGAGCAAAATGCACTCTCTTACGGTTAACACGTCTATTACAATCAACATGTAAGTTAATAATTTATATTTTCTCCATTTTAAATAATTTTCATTTTTTTTAAGAGTCAATTTGACTAAATTCTCAAAGCTAAATAAGATAGATTAATTTGATATTCTAAAATTAAAATTTAGATATTAAAAAACTATACGAAAAATATTATAAATTACATTTTTTTTCATATCTTAAAAGATATATTAATCAAAGTTCATATATTTTAACTAATGCAGAAAAATTGTTACGAGTATATGGGATAATGGGAACGAATGGAGTGTTAAATAATACTTTATGATTCTCACAACATAAATTTATAACCATCAAACAAATGCTTTTAGTATTTGAAACTTATTTATATGCAATTCAAACGTAGTGATACTAATTATTACTACTATAAATGGTTCTAAATGTATTGATGAAAAATTACAAACTTATTCCGAGTCTTAAGTTTCTTTTTTGTGTTTTTAACCTCATAATAGACTAAGTTTATGCAATTTCTTCCTCATAATTGAGGTCTAGAATGTGTCTTACCCTTCAACAAAAATTAACAAATGTCAATCACTGAATGGGTATCAAGATTTATAAATACCCCAATCTTCCTAAAACAATACATCAACAAACAATTTCAAGTTCTTTCAAGAATAATTTGATTTCTCTAAGTTTGTAACATTATTTGCTCAATTTTAATCAGAAAATCATGGATAACTCCCAGAACACAAGCTACAAAGCTGGCCAAGCCAAGGGCCAAGTCCAGGTAATCTATGTGCGATAAATTATAATCATATGCATATTCATTTCAACTTTAACATGCTGATAGATAATTGGCGGAATTGAAATTTTTAATAAGTGAATTTTAATAAAATATATGTAATGCAAATTAAATAGGATTGTCATATTAATATGTATGACTCGAACGTGTAACATAAAGCAACTGTCGAGTCACCTTTGTGGCTACTCTAAAACCTTTTCTTAAGTCAAAAGGGATTCAATAAGTTTAGCATGTTTGTGTTACAATTCTCACATAAATAGAACTAGTCTTATATATTGTGATCATATAGCTTTGCCTCTGATGACACTTGATATGTATTGTTATGTGACAGGAAAAGGGTAATCAGATGATGGACAGGGCTGCCAATGCTGCACAATCTGCTAAGGAATCATTACAGGAGGTTTGACCATTGATATCTCATTATACATACACATCACTAAATTTATTTCGTTTTTCAGCTATTGATAAGGCCAGAAAATAATGTGTTTGTGTTGTATTTGATTGATATATATAGGCGGGGCAACAAGTGCAGGCCAAGGCACAAGGGGCGGCAGATGCAGTTAAGAATGCCACTGGCTTGAACAAATGAAATTCTATTCTTGATTACAGCCAGACGGGCTCATTTTTTTTATCCCCTCTTGAATAATTTGAAGTTTTTGTTTTCATTTCAAATTAAGAAAGCATTTTCGGTTACTTAGGTTGAGATTTTTTTTTTCTGAATTAAAGACAAATAAGAAGTTGTGTGTAGGTCATATTGTCACAACTTTTTTTAATGTCATCTTTCTTTCAATCTAATAATTATAGTGTTTGGTTCTGTTGAATTTTTGAACTTTGCATTGTTGAGATGATATGATTACAATTTTGTTTATTTAAATTTTTTTAAACAATTTTAACTTATCGAAGTTAACTTTTATAAATTCTTTCAGGCGAAAATAAAGTACTAACAATTAAAAAAAATTCTTTTAAAATCCAACAAAGAATTATAGTTATACTATATTATATGATTATAAAGTTAGTGTGATCAGTCGCAAACTAATTTTATTTTTTTTAAAAAAAAAAACACATATCAGCAGCACATTGTTCATCATCCTGAAAATTTTATTGATCATACTTGCTAAAAAGATGATGGTACATACCCCAAAAAAATGCTAAAATTAAGAAAGTGAAGCCAGGTACATAGAAAAGAAAAGTAACACTTGAGAACGGAATATTTCTTGCATTTATATTTTTTTTCATGTTATATGTTAGTTAATTTATAAGCCAAAAATGACGAAGAATAAAAATGATAATCTTAAATGAGAGCCTCCATTAACAAACTATGAATTTATATATGTAAAGTAGAGGAATACAATAAAATTTCACAAACTTACAATTTAAAATTTAAATTTGAGGGTTATGAATATGAAAATTATGGGAGTTATTAATATTATTAAAAGTAGAAATTAAAGATGTGAATTATGGATAATTACTTCTTGAAATACATTAAATAATAAAAAAATACTTAAAATATTAAAAATATTGTATTTTATAATTAAGATAGGGTCAAAAAATTAGAAGAACAAAGAAATTTTTTTTTATAAAGAGCAAAAATTACAGAGGTGTGAGTCACAGATAGTAGTTACTCATTGTAAATATTAACATGTGAAGAGTTTTTGTTTTAAATGTTCTTTCACAAATAAAATAAGTATTTTACTTTTATAATAAATAATTAATTTGAATATGAGCAAGGCCAAAAGAAGAAGAAAAACGATACATGAAATTGTAGGCCATAAAAAAGTGTCACAACATCTTAATTAAATAGAAGTTTATACTATATATATAAATATAAATATAGGTGTTTATTGAAAATTTGAAGTTAGACGTTAGTAAACCATATGATAAATATTGTGACATATTGAGGTTAAAACTAAGTGCTTATAAGCACTTTTTAAATTTACTCAACCACTCTAAAAATGTTTAAAAGCTATTTTAACTTAAAAGCACTTAAAATAAGTCAATTAAATAACCTTTAGATCTAAAGATATTAATCAAAGCTCAATCAATTTGAAGCCATGGACTTCAAAAAAGAAAAAATATTAAAAGTGGGTAAGAAATATTATCATTTTTCAATATACCTGAAATCATAAATAATCTTTCAACCTCCATAAGATGGTGTGATAATATTTGTGTGAATTCTACTACTTTCAGATCCAGATTTTATTAAATATACTATTGTTATAATATACACAAAATAATTAACCTCAAAATAGACTAAGTTTATGCAACTTCTTCCCCATATTGAGGCCTGAAATATGTCTTACCCTTCGACCAAGATTAACAAATGTCAAGCACTGAATGGATTTCAAGATCTATAAATACCCCAATTTTTCTAAAACAATACATCAACAAGCAATTCCAACTTCTTTCAAAAATAGTTTGATTTCTGAGTTTATAACACTAATTGCTAAATTTTAATCATAAAACCATGGATAACTCTCAGAATTTGAGCTACCAAGCTGGTCAAGCCAAGGGCCAAGCCCAGGTAATCTATATGCTATAATTATTTGCACATTCACTTTTTCTTTAACATGTTTGTACATAATTGTCGAAATTAGATATTTCAATGAGTGGATTTGAAAAAAAAATAATTATCATAGCAATATGTATGACTTGAACCTACGACATATAAAAGCAATTTTCGGATCACCTTTGCGCATTTTCCTTATGTAAAAAGGGACTCAACAATTTATGTATATATAAACAAAATTATTTATAGTCTATTTGTGTTACAATTCTCAAACAAGTAGAATTCGTTCTCTATATAATGATTATGTACCTTTGCCCATAGTGACACTTAATATATATTGTTATATGACAGGAAAAGAGTAACCAAATGATGGACAGGGCTGCCAATGCTGCACAGTCTGCTAAGGAATCATTACAAGAGGTTTGGTCCACTGAAATTTCATTATATATGTACATGTCAGTAAAGTTTTATTCTTATATATTTTTAGCTATTCTTAAGATTAAAAAAAAAATGTGTTTGTGTTATATTTGATTGATAATTTTGTAGGCGGGACAACAAGTGCAGGCCAAGGCACAAGGAGCGGCAGATGCAGTTAAAAATGCTACTGGCTTAAACAAATGAAATTCTGATCTCCATTGCAGAGCCAGATGGGCTTATTTTTTTTAATCCCCTCTAAAATAATTAGAAATTTTGTTGTTATTTCAAATTAGGAAAGCAATTTCTCTTATTTGGGATTTTAGTATTCTTGAGAGGATTCTTATTTCTGAATTAAAGAAGAAAAAGAAAAGGTTGTGTATAGGTAACATTGTCACAACTTTCTTAATTTCTTCTTTCTTTTAATCTAATAAAAGTGTTTGATTTTGTTGAATCTCCAAATTTTGGATTGCTGAGATAATATGGTTATAACTTTGTTGTTTTAATTTTTTTAATGCTTTAATTTATCGAAATTAAATTTTATCAATCTTTTCAGCTATAAAGTTTAGGTTAGACATTCAAATTGAAACGCAATTTGTCTCCTATTAAATTAAATTATGAAAAGGCTAAATATACGAATGATTAATCAAAGTTCAGTCAATTTGAAGTTTTGAACATCAGAAAATGAAAGAATATTAAATATTTGGATAAAAAATATCATTATATCGCAATATATATGAAATAATTAATGTAGAATATTTCAACCATTATCAAACCTTGCTCTCATCACTTTATCGTATAAAGATAATTAGAGTTCCCCTTTATATCAAACAAGTTTTTTTTCCAATAGTAATTTTTCTTTCTAGAAAACTGTTTTTCAATTCTTCAAACATTGAGTAAATGTAGATTCTTTTTAGTTGCAACTTCAACACCATATTAAAAAAAATGTTTTTTAAGTTTTGCAAATATTTTAAATTACGTTAAAATGCTTTTCATTTTTGCAAAATAAATTAATACTTGAAATTTGATATATTTGGATTGAACACTATAAAGAATCACTAGAATAGTTTTAGCACTCAACTATTTTAAAAGGTTATTTGACAAATTTAATTAGCTATATATGACGTGAAGTGCTTTTATAAAGAGAAAAAGTTAAAAGAGGTATAAATTATTACTCATTATAAATATTGACATGTGAAAAGTTTTTTTTATAAATATTTTTTCATTAATAAAATAATTATTTATAATAAATTAAGTAATTTATTTTTATATAATCCAATAGCTCTATAGCATATGTAGAAACTACTAACAATATCCTATCAATGGTCACTGGAGAGAGGAGACGCTACTAGAACAGGACAATTTTATTTTTTTTAATGCAATTGGATTAGTTCCTAACCCAAATGTAAGAATTAGTTAATTTGAATATGAGAAAGGCCGAAAGAACAAAAAAGAATAATGCAGTTGAAAGCCTTAGAAAAATATTACATCATTTTATTTATATATAACTTTATATATTATATATATATTGAAAATTTGAAGTTAGACATTCCTAAATCACGGAATTTGTCTCCTATTAAATTATGGAAGGACTAGATATATAAATAATTAATCAAAGTTTAATCAATTTGAAGTCTTGCACATCAGAAAATGAAAAAATATTAAACATTTGGATATGTTATATTATCATATTACAATATACACACACAAAACAAACCTCTCTATCTCCATAAAATAGTACTAATAAAATTTGTGTGTGTGTGTTTTTTTTTTTTTTTATCATTTTCAGATCCATATTTCATTGAATATATTTTTGTTGTAATATACACAAAATAATTAACCTCAAAATAAACTAAGTTTATGCAACTTCTTCCCCATATTGAGGCCTAGATGTCTTACCCTTCAACCAAAATTAACAAATGTCAAGCACTGAATGGATTTCAAGATCTATAAATACCCCAAACTTTCTAAAACAAGTACATCAACAAGCAATTTTAAGTTCTTTGAAAAATAGTTTAATTTTTCTGAGTTTGTAACACTAGTTACTCAATTTTAATCACAAAATCATGGATAACTCCCAGAATTTGAGCTACCAAGCTGGTCAAGCCAAGGGTCAAGCCCAGGTAATCTATATGCTATAAATATTTACACATTTACTTTTTCATTAGCATACTTGTAGATAATTGCAAAAAATATAAATTTTTATGAGTGAGTTTGAAGAGAGAAAAAAAGAAGAAGATTGCCATATCAACATGTATGACTCAAACAAGTAGAATTCATTCTCTATGTTTGGATCGTGTAGCTTTGTCTCTGATGACACGTGATATATATTATTATGTGATAGGAAAAAGGTAATCACATGATGAACAGTGCTGCCAATATTGCACAGTCTGCTAAGGAATCACTTCAAGAGGTTTGATCATTAATATATCGTTATATATATACACATCACTAAAGTCTTATTCTTATAATTTATTTAGCTATTCATAAGATCAAAAAGTAATGTGTTTGTGTTATATTTGATTGATAATTTTGTAGGCGGGACAACAAGTGCAGGCCAAAGCACAAGGAGCGGCAGAGGCAGTTAAAAATGCCACTGGCTTGAACAAATGAAATCCTAATTTCAATTGCAGCCATATTGGCTCTTTTTCTAAATCCCCTCTAAAATAATTTGAAATTTTATTGTTATTTCAAATTAGGAAAGCAATTTTTCTTATTTAGGATTGAGTATTTTTTTTAGAGGATTCTTATTTGTGAATTAAAGAAGAATAAAAAAAAAGTTGTGTATAGGTCACATTGCCACAACTTTCTTAGTATTTCTTTTCTTCTTTTAATTTAATAAAAGTGTTTAATTTTGTTGAATCTCTAAACTTTTCAATTCCGAGATGATATGATAATAATTTTATTGTTTTAATTTATTTAATGCTTTCAATTTATCGAAGTCAAATTTTATCAATCTTTCAAGCTACATCGCATCAAAGAAATATAATTTAGCTCCTAAATTTTAAGTTAGACGTTCATGAATCATGTGATAATATTGAAAATTAAAATGCAATTTGTCTCCTAAATTATGGAAAGACTAGATATAAGATGATTAATCAAAGTTCAATTAAATTAAAGTTTTGGACACCAAAAAATGAAAAAATATTTAATATTTTGGATTAAAAAAATATTATCATATCGTAATGTACATGAAATAATTAATATAGAATATTTCAACAATTATCAAACCTTGCTCACATCATATTGTAGCATAAAGATAACTAAAGTTTCCTTTTATGTCAAACAAGTGTTTTTTTTTCGAAGGTAATTTTTTCTTTCTAAAATTCTGTTTTTAATTCTACAAACATTGGGTGAATGTATTTTTTAAAGTTGCAACTTCAACACCATTTTTAAAATTGTTTTTTAAATTTTGCAATTATTTTAAGTTACCTAAAAAGTGCTTTTCATATTTGCAAAATAAATACTACAAAGCTAATATCCTTTACATCGATGGTTAACTTATCCATGGTCAATTTTTACAAACTCTATTTGTTAATAAGAAATAATGTATTTCAACCGAAATAATTTGTTTTGGTAGCATTTTTTTGTAAAATTATTTATTTCTATTTTTTATAACGAGCATGAACGCTAAGATTATAATTGATGAAAAGCTTGTTAGCACACAATTATATCAGCTTAAATGAAAAAAAAGAAATGGAAGAATTGATATTTCTGATTTTAAAAAATATCCGAATAACAAAATCAGGATCAAAGCAAAATATAATTCAATAATTTTATACAATAATTTCTTGATAATTGTTTGAATGGTTTGAAGCCATAAAAATCATTACTAATAAAACATTAGAATTTGCATGTGGACTTATGCATAGTTGAAAAATCAAAGGAAAGAGAAAAAAAAATGCATTTTCTTATGTTTACTTGAATGAAAATCTGAAATTGTACATAAATAAGACTTTATTATAAATTAGAATAATTCATATAAGCTTTTGGGTAAATGTTTATCAAAATTGATTAATAATTTACACTCTCATTTGTATTATTAATAAAATAATTTGCGTTGATCTAACTCAATAATAAGTGACAAAATTAATCGACATAACTCATTTAAAAGTAAAATTATTATAAAATCAAATTTGATAGGATGTCTCTAAATTATACTTGTATTAAAATATCGGTAAAAATTGTTAACGTTGGTATTTGTATATATGTGTCGATTTCCAATTTAAAAGAAATCAATTTTCTAGGACCATAACCCTAATTAATCCAAATCTAAAAAACAACATTTCGGATCTTGGATACACTCCATTTGACCCGAATCTGTTCGAACTCATTCCATCTGAGTTTTCTCTTCTCATCCCTAAAACCCTACCAAAATCCTCTTTGTTCATTCCCAAAAAACCAGCCGAAACTCTCTTCAGTTTTGATCAATTAAGCAATCGGAATCTACCAAGAAGAATGCGAAATCAACAGCGATGGCTTCTCCTTCTTCTCCGGCACCATTCTCTAGCTCAGCCTCACATTTCCAGGCACCTCATCAATCAATCTCCGTTTCAGGTAAATCGATCTGTTAGTTCTATCGCTTCTTCAACTATCTACTCACGTGCATCTCACATGCTCCCTTACCAATCACTCACCGTTCGTAGTTTCTCCACATCTGAATTGGCTGTCGAACCCAAAGATTCAGATCAAATCGCTGTATTAACTGGTATTTTCTCTAAACCAAACCGGAGTAATGAAGAAATTAAGCTTGATTTAGTGTCTAATAATGTTACTGTCACGCATGATTTGGTTATAAGGGCGTTAAGGAGCTTTAATACCGCCCCTGATGCGGCACGTAAGTTTTTTAACTGGGTTAAGGAGAATGAGAGCGATAGGTTGAGTTCAAAGGTGTATAATTATATGTTGGGGATATTGGGGTCTAATGGGTTTGTCAAGGAGTTTTGGATTATGGTTGAAATCATGAAAAGTAAAGGGTATGGAGTGTCCAGGGGTACGTTTAATCGGGCTATTGAGAGATTTGAGAAGGAGAAGCTGAGCGGCAACCTGGAGAAGCTAAAAAAGTTGTATAGTTCTGAGCTGGCCAACAATTCGAGTGAGGAAGTTTGTTCTAGGGTTTGCAAATTGATTCGAGGAAATGTATGGGGAGATGATGTGGAAAAGCAGCTGCGAGAGTCAAAATTCGAGTTCTCGAGTGAATTGATCAGTATGGTTTTAGAGAAGCTTGAATGTGAAACTAATAAGGCTTTGATATACTTTAGGTGGATTGAAGAGAGTGGTCTATTTAAACACAATGAGCAGACATTTAATGCTATCGCAAGGGTCTTAGGTAGGGAAGAGTTCTGTGAGAAGTTCTGGAAGTTAGTTGATGAAATGAGAACTGCAGGATTTGAAATGGAAAAAGAAACATATATTAGGGTTCTGGATAACTTTGTTAAGAGGAAAATGATTAAGGATGCCGCAGACTTATATGAGTTTGCAATGGTTGGCATAAACAAGCCATCCTCGGAGGACTGCACTTTTCTATTGAAGAAAATAGTTGTTAGCAAGGAGCTTGATTTGGAATTGTTCTCAAAAGTTTTAAGGGTCTTCACAGAAAGTGGCAATTCATTGACTAGTGCTAACCTCGATGCCATTCTCAAGTCTTTGACCAGTGTTGATAGATTTGGCGAATGTAACAAGATATTGAAAGCAATGGGGGATGCTGGTTTCACACCTAGTCATAATCAGCAGAGGAAAATTGCTTTTAATTTGGGTAGTGGTGGGAAGGATAAGGAATCCAATGAGTTTATGAATTATATAGAATCAACTGTCTCTACTCCAAATTCTAAAACATGGACATCTTTAATTGAAGGATACTGTGAAGCGGGTGATCTGGCTAAAGCTTCAGAAGCATTTGAAATGATGATCGAAAAGGAAGGGTCATCCCATGCTGGGTATGCTTTAGAGCTCTTAGTGTCCTTGCACTGCCGCAAGAGAAGAGCGATTCATGCATTCAATCTTGTTGAGAAGATGGTCAATGAGAAAGAACTACATGTGTGGCATACCACATATAAGTTCTTGATAGGAAAATTATTGGCCCAACGAGGTTTTGAGGAAGCTCTGGATGTTCTACATTTGATGAAAAGTCAAGATTACCCACCTTTTCTGGATCCCTTCATCAAGTACCTTTCGAAGACTGGAAGTGCTGATGATGCACTTGAATTTACTGCAGCAGTGACCCTGAAGAAACTTCCATCAACTTCTGTGTTTCTTAATTTGTTTGAAGCATACTTTAAAGCAGGAAGGCGAAGTGAAGCACAGGACTTCCTTGCAATATGTCCGAGATACATTAGGAACCATGCAGATGTTTTGAATCTTTTTTGTTCCAAGAAACCCCAGAAAGCAACTGCCACTATTCCTGTGACTGCATAGGCTCAGATGGATACGTCGTCTAGTTTTTTTGTGCTGCAACATGTTTGGACATTTTTTCCTAATGTTTTCTTATGAAAGTTTGCAACCGTCTCTGCTTTCTTTAAATATTGGGGCTTAATCCCTTAGAAACCATTTTCCAATTAGAGTTCACTTGGTGAATTTAATCGACACAATAAAACATAGTTGCATTGGACTCATCAAAGTTATGGGTGAACACTTCATCATGTTACCTTCATAAAAGTTACTGACTCCACTGAGTTGTTCATTTTATGGTTCTCTGAGTAGGCTTGAGGAAAAAGGGACCTGTAATTGGTCTAGTCTATTGGATCCATCATACATATTGTCTTAATTCTGACTTTACTGGATTATGTAAACTACCTTGGAGAATTTCATGTTCCTTCAACTCGTAGCCATGCTCTTAAAGTTAAATGTCTGTTGAAGTTTATTATTGTCTTCACTTTGTAAATTTTTGTTTGATGACCTTGGAGAATTTCATGATTACAAGGGTTTGCTATTTCAATTGAATCCAACTCTGAAGTTTTTCATTTCTTTCATCTCTAGATACTTTTGGATCACTGCAATTATTGTGCTACATTAACAAACCCAAGTTTTTGTTGGCCCTATTCTTATAATTCATCTAAATTTTTTTTGTTCCAACATGGGAATGTCTATTTGGTCCATCTTGAAGAGGAATATGATAAAAATCTTAGTTCTTCTCTGCTATTGCACATGTCTCTTCTTCGAACATAACTGCTTCAGCGAGGGGTATTTTTGTCTTTCCATGTGTATCTACAAGTGCCCTTTGTTGCGTTGCTTGATTTCATCGGAATTTCTCAGCTTGAGCTTCTCCTCATCCCCTGCATGAAGCTTTTCTGTAGTGGCTTTGGAAATGGGCTTCTGGGCTTGGTGTAATAATTTATTTTCCTTTCTTTGGTAGGAATGGCACCAGGTATCCGCTTGTGATGACACTGTTTAAAACATGGCCCATTTTATAACTTATTTGAAGTTTAGCCATACTTCACAGTTTACAACCTCCCCCGCTTCTTCTTCTGAAGTTATAACTTCAAACCCATCTTTACAACTTTGATTCTGAGGCGACTAAATTTAAAACGTTGTAAATTTAGGCTATTCAGGGAATACTATTTCGTGTTTTCTCCTTGGGTCAATTATCAAAGAGAGATGGCGTCAGTTGACATTTA